TAATCGGTGAATAATAAAGAAAATTTAGGGCGACAAGGGGCAGACACACTTGGAAAGATGGGTTCTTAGATCTTCACATCCATGTGTAGTCAGCCGACTTTCTGCACGGGGCTCACGCGTAGTAAGTAAGCTGATTTATGTAGTGGACTAGGCTCAAACTCAGCACATTTATGACTCAGCAATGTCTGTCTGACATGTACCACCACTCAGAGACTGGCAGTCAGAAGCACAGCTTCATTTCCAGTTAAACGGCTGCTATCATGAGACAGGGAACGGGGAACAGTGCGCAGCGGCACCACTCATCCGCGTCTCACAGGAGAGCAGGGGAAGGAGAGGCAAGCAGGCCGCTTGTAGCAGTCTCATTCAGACGCACATATGCACGCACACTACATGCAAACACGTATGAAGACCATGCTGCGCTCTGCTCTGCCACGGAAACGTGTTGAGGAGCTCATCTCATCCTTCCACGCTACAGCAAAAGTGAGCACGAGCTCTCACACGAGCTGCTCTCAACTTAGTGTCAGAAGGGCTGTCCTGCAGCCACACGCAGGTGTCAGGTCCCTGTACTGAGCAAAAGCCCTACCGCCAAGCAGAACAAGCAGAGCGGCTGGTGGGGCTGCAGGAGACGGGGGCCGGGTGGGGGGCGCCGAGCAAGCGAGGCAGGGTTTGAGGACGCCCCCTGGGAATCGACACTGACAGCTTCTGGAACACCTGGGATTCTGCTGTTGTGGAAAGCCGTTCCCTACAGGAGTTATACCAGCAGCAACCCTCCCCTGTGTAAGGTTCGATTTTATCACGTGTCTGTAAAACTAGAATGACCAAAACGAGAGAGGTGGGTGGACGGCCTCTAAGGCCTCCTGCAAGTCTCCGCTGAATGCTCTGTATTACACGGAACGACTGTGAGCTTGAGTGTTGGAGAAGAGAAGCGCACAGAGCACGTCTGTTTCATCTCGACAACTTTGAACGTCGTGTCAATGAAGCTCAGAGAATCGCAACACCTGCCCTAGGTCACGAAGCAAGCAAGTGGCAGAGCTGCACTGGGAGCCCAGGCTCTCTGACTCTGTCTGCAGCCTGTGTCTGCAACTTGTATTCAGTAGATGGTTACTCAGTTAACACGTGTGTACATGATAGATGTGATGTGTACAGCCCTTTATTACTTGTTACAAGCTGGATTACTAGACTTTGCAGAAAAGAGAAACTAGTTTTGTTTTTTTCTTTTCAGGATACCTATCTTTATTTTCAGAAGAACTTTGGCTAAAGAAGATAATTTCAAAGATAAATAATGATGGTTTTTCAAGGAAGATAATTTGAAAAACCATTCCAAACATGGTTTGTTCTCTTTAAATCCCAGCAATAAGTCAGATCATGTCAGCCATTTCCTAAAGGTAGGAACTTGTTGGGAAAACATAGCTGCATTAGTCTGTTTTGTATTGCTTATAACAAAATACCCCAAACTGGGTGATTTATAAAGAAAAATGACTATTATTGCTCACAGTTTCTGAGGCTGGGAAGTCCAAAGTCCATCTGGTGGTGGCGACAGTGACCCAGGGGTCTCACATTGCAAGACGGTGGAAGCAGAGAGAGCAAAAGGCAGAATCTCCTCTTCTTTTAAAGCCCTCAGAACCATGCCCCTGACCACCATTTTTAATCCAGTCACTACTGTAAGATCCTACAACTCTATCACCTCTTCAAGTCTCTACCTTTCAATTACCGTAATAGGATTTCCCACCCTCTTAATAGTTGCAGTGGGGGCTAAGTTTCTAACACATAGAGTTTGGGGACACAATTCAGTGACTTTTGGGGAGACATTCAATCCACTATAATAGGAAGATAGTCAGGGCCCCTCAGATGTTCAGAATCTTGCTGAGCATTTGATATAAATATGCACGTGCGCTCAGGTGTTCCTTGGTTATTGTCTAATATAACTGAGCATGTGTGCCCAGGTGTCCTGGGTTATGGACTTAAGTATAAAGGACGAGTGGCTCTGATCTACAGGGCCCCCGCCCCTGGGATGTCCTGGGGGGGGGGGGGGGGGGGAGGC